GTGTGTGACCCTCATGAAAATGTGAATTATTCTATCTTTGTTAAGCATACAATAGTAACGTGATATGACAAGAAATACCTTATATTCTAACATGTACATTTTGAATCACTGAATGATTGTCCATTTAGATAAAGGTATTCAAGGCATCCTTAGCACAAGGCCCTTACCCGGGGGTAATAATATAGTGGGTCACGTATGTTACAAGTTTACGTCTGTTACAAGTTTAAGTATGTTTATGTTACAAGTTTACACATGTTACAAGTTCATGTATATTACAAGTTCAAGTATGTTACAAGTTCTCAGTACCGGAGGACTCCTTTATAGAACTAACAAGAATGCGTTATATTGATTTGTTAGCGCTATTGAAATGCCAAGCATAGTCAAGTATGAATTTGGATTGCTATTTATGATTCAAGCAGAATGCGTACGTATGAATTTGTTTTTGTTTATGGTATGACATGATATGTATGGCTTGGTCTGTAAAACCTATTAATTCCTGGGATGGAACAAAGTGCTACTTGGAACTAAGTGCTATGTTGTGAGCCACCTCTAGAGTCCATGTGAGACACCTCTTGAATCCATTCATATATGAACTAGGCTTAAAGCCAATATGGGCCTATGGCCATTCTGTATGATCTATTAGGCCAAAGGCCATCCTGTGTTTCTGGTATGGAGCAAAGTGCTGTACGGAACTATGTGCTGCAGTGCGAGCTACCTCTAGAATCTGTACGAGCCACCTCTTGAGTCCATACATATCTGAAAGTTATGAGGCCTATGGCCATTCTGTATAAGTTGTTATGATATGAAACAAAGTGCTACACGGAACTAAGTGCTACGATGTGAGTCACCACTAGAATCCGTGTGAGACACCTTTTGAATTCATACAAATATGTATAAGGGCTATATGCCATCATGTTTAGGGGCTTCATGCCATATGTACAAGGGCTATATGCCATCATGTTTAAGGGCTTCATGCCATATATTCAAGGGCTATATGCCAACACGTTTACAAGTTTAATGCTACTATATTCATGGGCTTTATGCCACTCTGTTCAAGAGCTTAAAGCCATTATGTCCCAAGATATTATGTTCTAAGCCATTATGTTTCAAGACTGGGCCTAAGGCTATTTTGAAACTAAATTAACCTAAGTTATGTATGCACTGATATGTATTATAATTCAAGTTGAGCATTATGTTCCAAGCCATTATGTTTCAAGACTGGGCCTAAGGCTGTTTTGAAACTAAATTAACCTAAGTTATGTATGCATTGATATGTATTATAATTCAAGTTGAGCATTGCATCGTTTATATACTATTATTCACTGAGCCCGGCTCACTCTGTGTTATGTCTGTTTCTATAGGAACCAACCAGGTGGCCAGTCCTAGCCATGACACCCGTTTTCTTTGTCAACCTTCGTGGGTCCAGGCATTGCATGAGAACAATTATTTTGTAAAATCAATTAAGATGTTGGCTTACTTTTGATTGTCCACCCAAGGTTGAATGTATAGAACTTCAATGCTTTTTGTATGTGCCCAATTATAGGGCTGAGACTATATATGCAGTTGTATATAACCGATGCTCCGGGATATAATTTGGACTTTACCTATCTACTATGATGCATGTGATTTATGAGATCTTGGCATGTAGAAGTAGCTCAATGGAGTTTATATGTACCATTATTTTCATATTATGTGCTTCCGATAAGGCCCCATATGTTATATGCAACAGGTTAAATGTTTGTTTTCAAACGGGTCATGCCCAAACTTTTAGGGGCGGGTTTGAGGCTGTGATAGCCAAGGCAGCCTAGCCAAAGCCAGCAGCATGCCATGCCAAGGCCAAGGCAGCCTCGCCAAAGCCTGCAGCATGCCATGCCAAGCCAAGGCCAGGAGCTTGCATGCCATGCCTAGGGCCAAGGCAGCCCAGCAAGAGCCAGCAGCATGCCATGCCAAGGACAAGGCAGCCTAGCCAAAGCCAGCAGCATGCCATGCCAAGGCCGAGGCCAACAGCATGCCATGCCATGCCAATGCCAAGGCAGCCCAACCAAAGCAACCCAGCCAAAGCCAACAGCATGCCATGCCAGGCCAATGCCAGCAGCTTGCTATGCCATGCCTAGGCCAAGGAAGCCTAGCCAAAGCTAGCAGCATGCCATGCCAAGGCCAAGGCCAGCAGCATGCCATGCCAAGGCCAAGGCAGCCCAGGCAAAGCCAGCAGCATGCTATGCCAAGCCAAGGCCAGCAGGTTGCCATGCCAAGGCTAAGGCAGCGCAACCAAAGCTAGCAGCATGCCATGTCAAGCCAAGGCCAGCAGCTTGCCATGCCATGCCATGCCAAGACCATAGCAGCCTAGCCAAAGCCAGCAGCATGCCATGCCAAGGCCAAGGCCAGCAGCATGCCATGCCATGCCAAGGCCAAGGCAGACTAGCCAAAGCCAGAAGGATGCCATACCAAGCCAAGGCCAGTAGCTTGCCATTCCATGCCTAGGCCAAGGCAGCCCAGCCAAAGCCAGCAGCATGCCATGCCAAGCCAAGGCCAGCAGCGTACCGTGCTAAAGCCAGCAGCATGCCACGCAAAGCCAAGGCTAGCAGCTTGCCATGCCATGCCTAGGTTATGGCAACATAGCCAAAGCCAGCAGCATGCCATGCTAAGCCAAGGCCAGCAGCTTGCCATGCCATGCCTAGGCCAAGGTTGCCTTGCCAAAGCCAACAGCGTGCCATGCCATGGCCTAGGCCAGCAGGATGCCATGCAAAGGCCAAGGCTGCCCGGCCAAAGCCAGCAGGATGCCATGCCAAGCCAAGGCCAGTAGCTTGCCATTCCATGCCTAGGTCAAGGCAGCCTTGCAAAAGCCAACAGCAAGCCATGCCCAGGCCAAGGCCCGCAGCATGCCATGCCAAGGCCAAGGTACCCCAGCCAAAGCTAGCAGCATGCCAGGCCAAGCCATTGCCAGCAGCTTGCCATGCCACGCCTAGGCCAAGCTAGCCTAGCCAAAGCAAGCAGCATGTCATGCCAAGCTAAGGCCAGCAGCTTGCCTTACCATGCCTACGCCAAGGCAGCATAGGCAAAGGCAGCAGCATGCCATGCTAATGCCAAGGCCAGTAGCATGCCATTCCAAGGCCAAGGCCAGCAACATGCCACGCCATGCCAAGGCCAAGCCAGTCCTGCCAAAGCCATCAGCATGCTATGCCAAGCCAAGGCCAGCAGCTAACCTTGCCATGCCTAGGACAAGGCATCCTAGCCAAAGGCAGCAGCATGCCATGCCAAGGCCAAGCCAGCCCAACCAAAGCTAGCAGCATGCCATGTTATGCCAGCAGCTTGCCATGACATGCCATGGCCACGATCGCCTAGCCAACGCCAGCAGCATGCCATGCCAAGGACAAGGTAGCCCTGTCAAAGCCAGCTGCATGCCATGCCAAGCCAAGGCCAGTAGCTTGCCATGCCATGCCTAGGCCAAGGCTAGCAACATGCCATGCCAAGGCCAAGACAGCCTAGCCAAAGCCAGCAGCTTACCATGCCAAGGCCAAGGCCAGCAGAACGTCATGCCATGACAAGGCCAAGGTAGCCCAGCCAAAGCCCGCAACATGCCATGCCAGGCCAAGGCCAGCAGCTTGCCATGCCATGCCGAGGCCAAGGCAGCCTAGCCAAAGCTAGTAGCATGCCATGCCAAGGCCAAGGCCAAGGCGGCCTAGCCAAAGCCAGCAGCATGCCATTCCAAGGCCAAGGCCCGCAGCTTGCCGTGCCATGCCTAGGCCATGGCAGCCCAGCTAATGCCAGTAGCATGCCATGCCGAGCAGAGGACAGCAGCTTGCCATGCCATGCCTAGGCCAAGGCAGCCTAGCCAAAGCTAGCAGCATGCCATGCCTAGGCCAAGGCAGCCTAGCCAAAGCTAGCAGCATGCCATGCCATGGCCAAGGCCAGCAGCATGCCATGCCAAGGCCAAGCCAGCCCAACCAAAGCTAGCAGCATGCCATGTTATGCCAGCAGCTTGCCATGACATGCCATGGCCACGATCGCCTAGCCAACGCCAGCAGCATGCCATGCCAAGGACAAGGTAAAAAAGCCATACCTAGGCCAAGGCCGCCTAGCAAACGCGAACAACATGCCATGCCAAGGCCAAGGCCAGTAGGATGCCATGCCAAGGCCAAGGCAGCAAAGCCAAAGCCAGCAGCATGCCATGCCAAGGCCAAGGCAGCCCAGCCAAAGGTAGCAGGATGCTACGCCAAGCCAAGGCCAGCAACTTGCCTTGCCATGCCATGCCAAGGCCAACGCAGCGCAACCAAAGCCAGCGGCATGCCATGCGAAGCCAAGGCCAGCAGCTTGCCATGCCATGCCAAGGCCATCGCAGCCTAGCCAAAGCCAGCTGCTTGCCATGCCAAGGCCAAGGCCTGCAGCATGCCATGCCAAGGCCAAGGCCAGCAACATGCCATGGCATACCAAGCCAAGGCCAGCAGCTTGCCATGCCATGCCTAGGCCAAGGCCGGCAGCATGCCATTGAACGGCCAAGGCTGGCCAGCCAAAGCCAGCAGCATGCCATGCCGAGCCACGGCCAACAGCTTTCCATGCCATGCCTAGGCCAAGGCAGCCCAGCCAAAGCCAGCAGCATGCCATGCCAAGCGAAGGACAACAGCTTGACATGCCATGCCTACGCCAAGGCAGGCTAGCCAAAGCCAGCAGCCTGCCATGCCAGGGCAAGGCCAGCAGCTTGCCATGCCATGCCAAGGCCATGGCAGCCTTGCCATGCCAAGGCCATGGCAGCCTTGCCAAAGCTAGCAGCATGCCATGCCAAGGCCAAGGCCAGTAGCATGCCATGCCAAGGACAAGGCTAGCAGCATGCCATGGCATACCAAGCCAAGGCCAGCAGCTTGCCTGTCACGCCCCAAACCCGCCCCTAAAAGTTTGGGCATGACCCGTTTGAAAACGAACACTTAACCTGTAGTAAATAACATATCGGGCCTCATCGGAAGCATAAAGTAGGGAAATAACTATACATATAAATTCCATTGAGCTACATCTACATGCCAGGACCTCTTATACATCACATTCATCATGGAAAATAGATAAAGCTCCAAACCATATGTTGTAGCATCGGTGATAAACAACCATATGTACAGACCCAGCCCCATCATTGGGCTTATATAAAAATCATTGAAGTTCTACCTCTTTAACTTTAAATGGGTAATCAAAATTAAGCCAACATTTCAATAGACTTTACAAAAATAAATGGCTTCGTGCAGTGCCTGAACCCACGAAGGTTGACAAAAGAAAACAGGTGTCATGACTAGGACTGACCACTTGGTTGGTTACCTATAGAAACAGACGTTAGACAGAGTGAGCCAAGCTCAGTGAATAGTAATACATAAATAAAACAATGCTTAAATTGAAACATAACACATAGCAATGCATGTAAAGATGTAGAGTTCACATAGTTAGTCTGATTCTGTGCTACGTACATAACGGCCTTAAGTTCAATCTTGCAACATAAACATGGTGGCTATAAGCCCTTGAAACATGGTGGCACGAGGCCCTTGAAACATGGTGGCTATAAGCCCTTGAAACTTGTGGCACTAAGGCCCTTGAAACATGTGGCATAAAGCCCTTGTAACATATGGCACTAAGGCCCTTGAAACATATGGCATAAAGCCTTTGTAACATATAGCACTAAGGCCCTTGAAACATATGGCATAAAGCCCTTGTAAAGTTGGCATGAAGCCCTTGAAAGATTGGCATTAAGCCCTTGAAAAGTTGGCATGAAAGCCCTTGAAAGATTGGCATTAAGCCCTTGAAAAGTTGGCATGAAAGCCCTTCAAAGATGGGCATTAAGCCCTTCAAAGGTTGGCATGAAAGCCCTTGAAACAAAGAACTTGTAACATACATAAACTTGTAACAACATAAACTTGTAACATATGTCAACTTGTAACAACATCAACTTGTGACAAACTTAAACTTATAACATATACTTGAAACATACCTGAACATACTTGAACTTGTAACATACTGGAAACATGCCTGAAACATACTTGAACGTCATTCATTAATTCAAACGGAACATATCATAACTAGAGCATTTCTTGTTGTATCGTGTCATTATCGTACGCTTAGCAATGAGAGACTAATTCACATTCTCATGAGGGTCACATAATGATGCTAAACTTTGCACTTATATCGTAGATTCTGGATCACTTCCAATTCATAAGCAACATAACAAATTAACTTCAATTCATCTGGATACATGTAGCTACTCTTATATTTACTCAGAATCCATTCTTCAAGAATGAACATAAATTCTTTTGGGTAAATGACTTACTTTACGTGCTCTCTTATCAATAGCATACACCTTTGTTTAATCATTCTTATATGTTAACATAGTTGCCTTGCCCTGTAATTAACATAGTCCTAATGGTAACTGTTACATCATTCCCATGAATTGACATAATTAACGTAAAGTTAACACATTCCTGATAATTAGTAACGAAAAGTAAGTACATTTTCATTAGATTATAGATGACTTTATTGGTTTCACAATTTCACAGTTCGGCCCTTGGCCTGAGGGGTTCACACATTCACAAGTTCCTTTGATGTTTTCATAATTCCATAATGTTTCTCACATAACATACATAACTTCATAAACTCTTTTGAAGTTTCCATAATATCACAGTGTTTCTCACATAGCATTCATAACATTTATGTCAACATAATTCTTACGACGAAGATTTAACATCAATAATGATAAATGGTTAAAGGTACATCAAAGTACTACTACTCACAGTGATCGGTTCCCGGTGGTAATGGTACAATGTCCTCGTCTCGACCTACAATTACAGTGCACAACACATAATATGAGGTTATACTCGATCCTTTACTTATTCTCTTTGATTGTTCAATCAATTAGTCATTGTGGTACCAAGCTCATTATTCTTTAATATGTTGTAATCCATGTCTTAGAAAACAGGAGAAATCGATAGGAAATGGTTTAGGTGAAGAAATGGTACATAACTAATTGACATAACGTGAACAGTCGTCACTAATTTAAGTATAACTTTTTCTGTATTTAGAATTTGGGAGTGAGACTAGAGCCATTGGAAACTAGACTTCCGGGCTTGATTTTAGGCTCAAGAATCACTCAAAACGGAGTCTAGATGCAAAAGATATACCTATTCAAAGTTGGCTGGACAGAGCTGTCTCCGCACGTGCGGGTGAACAGTGCCGCACGTGCGGCCCTGGACAGCAGCAGTCTGAAAATGGCTGAAATTGTGGGACTTCTCATTTTCAAAAATCAAACCTTAATTACATGTAAATCAAAGCCCAAAACCCTTTAATACATGACCAATTTCACATTATTATTCTTCATCAAACACCATAATCTCACAATAAACAAATTTAAAGATTTTACTTCTTCAATCAAGGAATTCTTAGAAAATCAGGGTTCATGGGTTCAAAGCTCACATCTTCTATATCAATCCATGATTTCAAGTAGTAGATGGATTCTATACAAGGTTAGTAATTAGAGCCACATACCTTACCCAAACCTTTGTTCATCCCTTAGTCTCTTCAATTTTCACAAGCTTTTGGTTGATCTTTCCTCTCTCTTGTATCTTCTTCGACCATCTTCAAGCTTCCATGGATGTTGAATTCCTTAGGGAGAAGCTTTGCCTCTTCTCTCTCTCCCTCTCTCTCTCTCACGGTTCTCCTTCCCCTTTCTCTAGATATTTTTATTTTTTGTTTGGTTCAAAATAGATGAGTTCAACAACTCATAAGGCATATATGCATATATAAAAGCTTCCCACAAATAGGAAGGGCCTAACACGCCCTTACGAATCGCACAAAATCACATTTCAATTAAACTTCCCAGATAACTCTAAAAATTATGCTGATCATAAATATGTCCCCTGTTCCGGTATCTGAAGTCTTTAATGCCTTTAATTTGCAGTATAAAGTTAATCACCCAAACGTCCATTAACGAACCAGACAAATTAGATTTCAAATTAATTTTCCCAAATAATTCCAAAACTTCCCATTAACATATCCAAGTACTCAATTTCGATTTTTGAACCCATAAAGGTCGGTAATTCCAATTTTCAGTCCATAACTCAACTGATAATGCTTCAATTCTAATAGATATAATTAAATTAAACCACAACATTTCATAGGGAAATAAAGATGATTTCTTATACGCATTTTGGGGTCATTACATCGCCATGCCATGCTTAGGCCAAGCCAGCCTAGCCAAACCCATCAGCATGCCATGCCAAGGCCAAGGCTGGCAGCATGCCATTGAAAGGCCAAGGTAGGCCAGCCAAAGCCAGCAGCATGCCATGCCGAGCCAAGGCCAACAGCTTTCCATGCCATGCCTAGGCCAAGGTAGCCCAACCAAAGCCAGCAGCATGCCATGCCAAGCCAAGGACAGCAGCTTGACATGCCATGCCTAGGCTAAGGCAGGCTAGCCAAGGCCAGCAGCATGCCATGCCAAGGCCAAGGCAGCCTAGCCAAGGCCAGCAGCTTGCCATGCCATGCCTAGGCCAAGGCCAGCGGCATGCCATGCCAAGGCCAAGTCTGCCTAGCAAAAGCCAGCAGCATGCCATGCCATGCCAAGGCCAAGGCAGCCCAGCCAAAGCCAGCAGCATGCCATGCTATGCCACGGCCAGTAGCTTGCCATGACATGCCTAGGCCACGGCAGCCTAGCCAAAGCCAGAAGCATGCCATGCCAAGGCCAAGGCCAAAAGCATGTCATGCCGAGGCCAAGGCAGCCCAGTCAAACCCAACAGCATGCCATGCCAAGACAAGGCAAGCAGCTTGCCATGACATGCCTAGGCCAAGGCAGCCTAGCCAAAGCCAGCAGCATGCCATGCCAAGGCCAAGGCCAGCCGCATGCCATGCCAAGGCCAATGCAGCCTAGCCCAAGCTAGCAGCATGCCATGCCAAGGCCAAGGCCAGAAGCATGCCATGCCATGCCAAGGCGAAGGCAGTCCAACCAAAGCCAGCAGCATGCCATGCAAAGCGAAGGCCAGTAGCTTGCCATGCCATGCCTAGGCCAAGGCAGCCTAGCCAATGCCAGCAGCATGCGATGCCAAGGCCAAGGCAGCCCAGTCAAAGCCAGCAGCATGCCATGCCAAACCAAGCCCAGCAGTTTGCCATGTGAGGCCTAGGCCAAGGCAGCCTAGCCAAAGCCAGCTGCATGCCATGCCGAGGCCAAGGGCAGTAGCATGCCATGCCGAGGCCAAGGCAGCCGAGCCTAAGCCAACAGCATGTTGTGCCATGCCAAGGCCAAGGCAGCCCAGCCAAAGCCAGCAGCATGCCATGCCAAGCCAAGGCCTGCAGTCTGCCGTGCCATGCCTAGGACAAGGCGGCCGAGCCAATGCTAGCAGCATGTCATGCCAAGGCCAAGACAGCCGAACCAAAGCCAGCAGCATGCCTTGCCAAGCCAAGGCCAGCAGCTTTCCATGCCATGCCTAGGCCAAGGTAGCCTAGCCAAAAGCAGCAGTGTGCCATACCAAGCAGAGGAAAACAGCTTGCCATGCCATGCCCAGGCCAAGGCAGCCTTGCCGAAGCTAGCAGCGTGCCATGCCATGGCCAAGGCCAGTAGCATGCCATGCAAAGGCCAAGGCAGCCCCGCCAAAGCCAGCAGCATGCCATGCCATGCCAAGGCCAGCAGCTTGCCATTCCATGCCTAGGCCAAGGCAGCCTTGCCAAAGCCAGCAGCATGCCATGCCGAGGCCAAGGCCTGCTACATGCCATGCCAAGGCCAAGGTAGCCCAGCCAAAGTTAGCAGGATGCCAGGCCAAGCCAAGGCCAGCAGCTTGCCATGCCTTGCCTAGGCCAAGGTATCCTAGCCAAAGCAAGCAGCATGCCATGCCATGCCAAGGCCAGCAGCTTGCCATACCATGTCTAGGCCAAGGCAGCGTAGCCAAAGGCAGCAGCATCCCATGCCAATGCCAAGGCCGGGAGCATGCCGTTCCAAGGCCAAGGCCGGCCGCATGCCATGCCACGCCAAGGCCAAGGCAGTCCAGCCAAAGCCATCAGCACGCTATGCCAACCCAAGGCCAGCAACTTACCATGCCATGCCTAGGACAAGGCAGCCTAACCAAAGCCAGCAGCATGCCATGCCAAGGTCGAGGCAGCCCAACCAAAGCCAGCAGCATGCCATGTTATGCCAAGGCTAGCAACTTGCCATGACATGCCTTGGCCACGACAGCCTATCCAAAGCCAGCAGCATGCCATGCCAAGACCGAGGCAGCCCAGCCAAAGCCAGCAGCATGCCATGTTATGCCAAGGCTAGCAACTTGCCATGACATGCCTTGGCCACGACAGCCTATCCAAAGCCAGCAGCATGCCATGCCAAGGCCGAGGCAAGCAGCATGCCATGCCAAGCCAAGGCCAGTAGCTTGCCATGCCATGCCTAGGCCAAGGCAGCCTAGCCAAAGCCAGTAGCAAGCCTTGCCACGGCCAGGACCAGCAGCATGCCATGCCAAGGCCAAGGCAGCCTAGCCAAAGCCAGCAGCGTGCCATGCCAAGGCCAAGGCCAGCAGCATGTGATGCCATGACAAGGCCAAGGTATCCCAGCCAAAGCCAGCAACATGCCATGCCAAGCCAAGGCCAGCAGCCTGCCATGCCATGCCTAAGCCAAGGAAGCCAAGCCAAAGCTAGCAGCATGCCATGCCAAGGCCAAGGCTGCCCAGTCAAAGCCAGCAGCATGCCACGCCAAGCCAAGGCCAGCAGCTTGCCATGCCATGCCTAGGCCAAGGCAGCCTAGCAAAAGCCACCAGCACGCCATGCCAAGGCCAAGGCCAAGGCAGCCTAGCCAAAGCCAGCAGCATGCCATTCCAAGGCCAAGGCCAGCAGCATGCCCTGCCAAGGCCAAGGCAGCCGAGCCAATGCCAGCAGCATGCCAGGCCAAGCCAAGGCCAGTAGCTTGTCGTGCCATGGCTAGGCCAATGCAGCACAGCCAAAGCCAGCAGCTTGCCATTCCAAGCAGAGGACAGCAGCTTGCCATGCCATGCCTAGGCCAAGGCAGCCTAGCCAATGCAAGCAGCATGCCATGCCAAGGCAACGGCCAGCAGCATGCCATGCCAAGGCAAAGTCCAGCAGCATGGCATGCCAAGGCCAACGCAGCCCAGCCAAAGCTAGCAGCATGCCATGGCAAGCCAAGGCCGGCTGCTTGCCACGACATGCCTAGGCCAAGGCAGCCTAGCTAAAGCCAGCAGCATGCCTTGCCAAGGCCAAGGCCAGCAACTTGCGACACCAAGGCCAAGGTAGCCCAACCAATGCAAGTGGCATGCCGTGCCAAGCCAAGGCCAGCAGCTTGCCACGCCATATCTAGGCCAAGGTTGCCTTGCCAAAGCCAGCAGCATGCCATGCCAACGACACGGCAGCCTAGCCAAAACCAGCAGCATGCCATGCCAAGGCGAAGGCCAGCAGCATGCCATGCCATGCCAAGGCCAAGGCACACTAGCCAAAGCCTACCGCGTGGAATGCCAAGCCAAGGCCAGCCGCTTGCCATGCCATGCCAAGGCCAAGGCAGCCTAGCCAAAACCAGCAGCACGCCATGCCAAGGCCAAGGCCAGCTGCATGCCAAGCCATGGCCAAGGCAGCCCAGCCGAAGCTAGCAGCATGCCATGCCAAGGCCAAGGCTAGCAGCATGCCATACCATGCCAAGGCCAAGGCAACCCAGCCAAAGCCAGTAGCATGCCATCCTACGCCACGGCCAGCAGCTTGCCATGACATGCCTATGCGACGACAGCCTAGCCAAAGCCAGCAGCGTGCCATGCCAAGGCCAAGGCCAGTAGCATGCCATGCCAAGACCAAGGCAGCCTAGCCCAAGCCAGCAGCATGCCATGCCAAGGCCAATGCCAGCATCATGCGATGCCATGCCAAGACGAAGGCAGCCCAACCAATGCCAGCAGCATGCCATGCCAAGACAAGGCCAGCAGCTTGCCATGCCATGCCTAGGCCAAAGCAGCCT